AATTTATACTAACAGCTGCAAAAAGCATCAAATAGTGTAGCAAATTTAGAAGCAAGAAAAGCACATACAAATTTCAAAATCACTTAGAATAACACTGTCATAATCTTATAAGAAAATAATGAACAAACATACATAAGATCCTATGGAATTTCCAATCTCAATCTTTCACATAGCCCTCTCGAAAACCTTCCTTTTGGTAGAATTACTCAACCATAACAGTAAAAAGGGATGAGTGTTAATTGGTTTCCAAGCGTAAGTTTTAGCTCGTCGACCTTAGGCACTTCAAGTGAAACAAGGGTGGCTAGAAATTTCCCAACTTAATAGTCAATATTTACACTATTTCTACTAGAATTAAGGGAAGGAGATCATTTTCTACTCAATCTTACCAAAATGCTGGCGAGGGGTTGCAGGTCTTCTTAGAAATGAAGACTCAAGTTGCGAAGACAACAAGAAATTGAGGAGGTTGGTGATTGCCAGTAGGAAGGAGAGACCCAAGAGTGTTGAAGATGATGCACAACTACCGTGAGGTGAAGACAATGGTTTGCGACATTGGGAGTTGGGAAATGCGAAAGAGAATGGTTCAGAATGGTTCAAAGGGGTGAGATTAGTGATGAAAGATGATGACGAGCATAAATTGGTGATGGAAATCGGAGAATGTTCTTGGTGGCTGTTAAATCTAGGGTTCCCAAAAGGAGAAGGATCGGGAGTTTACACTCTTTTCCCCCTTTTTTTTTGTGCTGCTCCCCCCCGCCCTCCCATAGGTTTTTAAATTTAGTCATCAGGCCTAACAAATGATAATTTCTCCCACATAAGTCCTTAAACTTAAATTTTAATGTTTTAGAACTTTTGGAATATTACATTAGCATTTTTATTAATTAAGCATAGGGAGTCCAATTTTATTCATTTTGGAAGTGGATTTGACAATGGGGAGTTTGTTGGGTTAAAAGGAATTATATAGCTCAAAGGAGAGTACAATTCAAGTATTTTTGGACTCTATCTATTCAAATCTCATAGGTTGGTATTCTATTAAAAGTCAAATTTTTATCCTTTGAGAAGGTTGGAGATTTAGTCTTTATTTAAAAAAAGATTGATTTGGTCAAATGGAAAGGGATGAGGTTGATTTTTAGGAATTTTAAGTGGTGGATTTTTGCTGGATTTTGGTTGCATATTTCTTGTTTCTAGCTAGCTAGTAGTGTGCATGAAAGAGAGAATATCGGGTTTGTTAAGACTATATTTTACTATGGATGGAGTGGTAGTTCATATATGATTTTTTACTTAATGGTGGCAATTATTGAGGCCTATAAATTTCAATTTTGAAGATATTATTCAGTTATACAAATAGACCTGCATTTCAACACAAATAATTTATCTTTCAAAACACTTTGTTCGTTAAGCATCCTTTAGTTTAGTCTAACCCAACGATCTCTTAGTTTTAGACTATTTCCCAACATCTTTCTTCAAGTTTTTAGTCCAATAGAAGTAGATCAATGTCCTCAACGGATTCTTGTTCTTAGTTGATTTAGTTTTTTGGATAAATTTAGTTCTTGTGACTTTTTCTTATTATTGTGATTTGCTTCTATGAAATTTCTCAATTATTAAATATTCAATTTGATTTTAATTCAAACATTTCTACAATTTTAGTTAAATTTAAAATCTTTTACTTTCCTATTTCATTTTCCAAATTTCTACCGTATTTACGTTTTTCTAATTGTAGTTTCAGTTTCTATTTAGCTATATTTTCTTCACTTTATTTAATTAATTTCTAGCACTTGTCCTTAGCTTATTTCATTTTCAATACTTTAATTTAATTTTTCTTGACACTCATTTACCTTAACATAAGTCCTTGATGTGCTTTAAAAGCAAGTTTGAACTCATTATGCAAGAATTAATTCCTCATTTCTGCTAATTGTTTGATTTGGGCACACTACATTTTAAACAACGATTTTTCCGACAACCATTTCATAGGGAAACACTAAGTGGAAGAAGAGAGTTGTAGGCAAATCCTTTTCTTGTTTTTCTTGCAAAAGTAGGTGGTACGCCTTTATTGCAATTTTTACTAGGAGGTATGGTCAATAAGATTTTAAGGGTAACAAAATAGAACACGTGATATACTTTTATTTATTGTAAAAATAAGTGTAAACAATTATTATTAGGATTCTAGTTAATATAAATAAAAAGTTAAGTCTCTTCTTTACATCAACTGTTTAGTATGTAGACATTAAGAGTCACCATTCATTTGGTACAAGAAGAAGATCTTGACAAATCCTTAATTGGGTGACCTTTTATAAACTTTTACAGAATCTATAAAAGCATCATATTAAGTACATAATTTATTTAGTTCATTATATCTTATGATACTACATTTTATGTATATTGATTTTAAAATTCTAACATTTTCAGGAGACAAGGTTTTGAGTACGAGGGATCTATAACCAAAAGAGTACCAAGGAACAAATTAGAGGCTATGGATTCTAAGATGCTACTTCCCAGCATGATTGATTGCAATCCATGCACTGCCAAAACTATAGATTTTTTTTTTTTTTTTTATCGATCACCCGATATTCGAAAACCTATTGGGTCACCAACTAATCCGGGACTAATCTGGGTTCAAGTCGAATAGGATTCAACAAATGACAAAACTATCCCTCACGAATTTTAACAGAACTGTATTTTTAGAATTTGAAACCAAAATCTCTAGTTAAACTGAAAGAATTCCCTACTAATTTATTCACCTACTCGTGGGTCCAAAACTCTAGATTCTTGTCAAACAAGCATTTGTGAATTATTTGAAAACCTTTTGTAGGGGGAGGGTTATCGTCGTACTCTCATTAGTTAGTATCACATCGTTTTAAGTTTAGTGGCCACTATGCCCCTTTATTATTTCAGTTTTACTCTTTTTACCCATTTTTTAAAAACAACAACAACAATTTAGTACCTTCATTATACTTGAATCCTGCCTTGTTGTTGTTTGTTTTGTGCGGGAAAAGAAACAAAATCCCTCCATTGTTACCACATCGGAGAGGATTAAGATGAGCAAAAGGTTACTGAAACTCGTCTGCAATTATCTTAAACACACTGCTAATTTCATCTCCATGGAACTATTCGAAATAGCATTCTTGTTCTCCCTTTGCTTCCCAGATCAATCCCTTTACATTTTATATCTCCAAAATTCTTGTAACTACTTCACAGTTCTCAGCAATCCACTTCTCTGCAAAACAAAAAAGAATCAAAATGTGTCCAATTCTCTGCCGAAAATAAGTTTGCAATCCTCTGCAATGGAATTCTGTATTTTCTCCATCAGTATTAGCCAGTTTCTCCTTTATTCTAAAATTTTCTCAGCAGCCAAATAGCCTTAAATCCATGTTGGATTGAATTTAGAATTCCTATTTTTCCACTCTCATCATCACCCTTGAGAAGTCCAGTTCGCAATGTTTTCATCATCCTGACGTTGTCTACAGCAATATTGCTTTGGTCTCCTATAGAGCATATTTTAATTAAGAGATGAAGAAGGTGCAAAGAATTTTTTTTTTTCTTTTTTTTCTTTTTTGGGCAAAAGAAGGTGAAGAGTTAATTTCAGAGACAAAGTGCTATGGATAGTGAAATCCCACGATCCCCGCCCCAAGAATAGGCGTGGACGGCGATATTTTCTCTTTATAAAATTTTTTAGGAAATTTCCTCGGCTTGTTTTCTCAACAGATCTCATTCTCTATGAAATATTTAAAAAAAATATAAAAGAATTATTAAGAGCCTATCTGATATATTTGTTAAAATTTAGTGTATAGTAGATAATAGGTAGCAAATAATAAATAATAGATAATAGTAGTGGATAGTGAGTAATGATTAGTAGATAGTGGGTGATAAATAGCAAAACAGGTAATGGATAACAGATAGTGGATT